TGTCTCTGGTTCATCGTTTTTTGTTGATTTTGATTTTCACTTTCTTATAGTTATTCATTTTCCTGGTCCCTTATTTAAGTTTTCTAGATTCCTGCTATGAGTGAGACCATCTGGTATTTTTCTTTTTCTTTCTGGCTTATTTTGCTGAGCATGATCCCTTCCAACTCCATCCATGTTGCTGCAAATTGCATGTGTTTATCTTTTTTGAATGCTGAGTAATATTCCATGGTGTATATGTACCACATCTTCTTGATCCAGTCATCTATTTTTGGACATTTGGGTTGTTTCCAAAGCTTAGCTATTGTAAATAGTGCTGCTATAAACATAGGGGTGCAGGTACTCTTTGGAATTGATGTTTCTGTGTCCTTTGGGTAAATACCTAGGAGTGGAATTGCTGGGTCACATGGAAGCTCTATGTTTAGTAGGTCCGGAAATCTCCACACAGCTCTCCATAGTGGTTGGACCAGTTTGCACTCCCACCAACAGTGCAGGAGAGTTCCTTTTTCTCCACATCCTCACCAACATTTATTTTTGCTAGTTTTTTTAATATGTGCCATCAGTTAGAACCATCAGTACAATACTGAACAAAAGTGAAAGCAGACATTGCTGATTTGTTCCTTATTTAGAAGTAGGATTGGGATGAAGGGGTGGGAGCTTTCATTTTTCACCATTAAGTCTGATGTTACCAGTGGATTTTTCATAGGTTCCCCTTTATCAAACTGAAGAAGTTTCAGCAACAGGAAAAATAACTCCCTATACCCATCAGTCACATTCCTCAATAGTTAATATTTTAACACATTTTCCTTGTCATTCTCTTAATACATATTTTTTTCTGAACTATATGACATTAAGTTGCAGACATGACGCCAAACATTACTCCTAAACATATAGATCATATGTATTTAGCCCACCACAAGTCACTGTAACCACAAAATACCATCAAAACCACAGAGTAACATAGACATATTATCAATTAATCCATAGACTCCACTCCAATTTCACCCACTGTTCCACTGTTATTCTTTAGAGAAAAAAGACTCTAACACAGGATCCAATCCAGAATCCTACATATTTAATATTTATATTTATATTTAATCATCACATATTCTTCATTCAGATCAGAAATTTTTAAAGAGTACAGGACAGTAATTGTGTAATATTTAAATCAATTTAAGTTTGAATGAAAATTTAAGTTTGAGCTAAATTATTAAGTTTTGGGTATGGCTGAAATACCATATAAGTGATACTATATTCTTATTGGTTAATTATATATGAAGTAGCTGATAGCTATATGTCTTATGGAGTTGTTAAGTTTGATCATTTGGTTGAGGTGGTATCAACCTTAAACACCCCACTTAAAGTTCCTGTTTCTCCTTTGTCATTGGGTGGCGCAGCAGTTGAGCGCTGGGATGCAAAGCTGCCCGCAGCCTCTGCAGCGCCAGTTCAATCCCTGGCCGCCGGAGAGGGTCCCACATGGTGCACAGATCTCTCCTGCCACGCCTGCTGATCCCCTCAGCAGTGTACTTCGTCAGTCTGCCTGTTCTGCTCCCCACTCTGGCTCTGGTGAATTCTCTCACCTTGCTGTGCTTCTGACTGTACCCCATGCTTGTATAAATAAATTAATTAATTAAAAATAAATAAATAAAAAGAACAAATTTTTTGTAGGGCAATAATTTTTAACTATGTAAATACTCTGTTCATCAAAACTTCACCCACTAACTTAATGAATGATTCTTGTCTGACTCAAGTATTATTATATATTACTTATATCAATATGGATTCATCTATTCCTATATTATTGAATGATCCATTTAACATGTGTACATGCATACACACAGAGACACATAAATAGACACACACACAAATACCATTCATGCTTCCAAACTCTATTCAATCATCTGGAGTTCATTCAAACTGCCCTCTTCCATATTTTTAAATCCTTTCTCTGAAAATGAGAAATCTTGCTCCCTTTATCTTCAACGTATTAACTTATTTTCAACTCAGGTGGAGTAAATGTTTGCTGAGCAGTCTCACATTGCAACAAGTATAACAACATGTATGAAAAGTCTGGAGAGTTGATCAGGACAGGGTAAAATGAGACCACTTCCTCTGAGGGTATTTCATTTGCATTAAACATATTTTTCTAATTCTTTAAAATTGTTAACCAGCATATCTGGAAGACTGAATCCTTGTACAGATGTACTACCTGGCAGTAAAGTATAGAAATATGATTGGGATTTAACCAATGAGACTCACTGCCTGAGACTCTTCTCAAGCAAGTAAGCCTAAGGCAAAGTGTCAATGATGCTACTTAAAGAAACAAATACACCATAGCCAGATTTCCGTTGTCCTTAGTTTTAAACTAAAATGTCCTTAGTTTTTATTTAATTTCTAACTCTGATTTATTGGCCTTATTGCCAATTCTGTGAACTATCTAATATCCCTCTGATTAATTATTGATTCTACTTAAGCCAGTCAATCTATTTCTGTTGCTACCTACCAAAATCCTGACTGACAAGCCATTTTGAGTACTATAAGGAGACTAGATAAATAAAAAACAATAAATAAATAGAACACAATAGAATAAGTAAAATAGAATACAATAAAAGCCTGACCATAAAGGAGACCTTAAAATCATATCATAATAGAAACTATAGTAAAAACTGTATGGGTCGATTTGCAAAGACTAAACAGATGGCATGATTGCCACTTTTACATATAAAGGGCTTATCATAAAGGGATCATACTGTATCTTTATAAAAAATAACCTATAGAAAAAGAATGCTGGATAGAAATGGTAGGTTTTCACCTGGTAAAGCTGTATCAAGAGAGAATTAGTTACCGAAGGAAAAATGGTGATAGGTAATTATGTAAGGGATGGTGGATTAGACAACATTACTTATAGTTCTGAGATTCTATGGTTTACTTACCAAAATGCTTGTTAGGATCTCACTATGTGCCAAAATGTTAAATATACTAAAACTAAAACCGGTGCCATGACATGAGGGCACAACGTCAGCAAATGATGCTCTTTTACCCAAGCGAATTAAGCAGAAAATTCTTCTCTTAAATGCCCAATGTAACACTTATCAGTAGTCCTTTCTGGCCTAATAAATTATCATTTACAATCCCTCATAAAGAAAATTTCTATACTCTCTAGTCTGATTTAGAAAATTCATTCTGAAGAATGGGCTATGTAAATAAAACTATGAGCTCAAAAGAGAGCTTCAAATATCAGGATATTATTTAATGAGCAATTGAGTCACACTGTCAGAGCCAACTGCTCTGTCTGCAGAGTCATACATACAAGAATTCTTAAACCAGCAGTAAGAAAAATAAAAGATATTAGCCAATCCACTATCAAAGTTACTGTTTCCTCAACATTTTTTTTCATTTTAAACATTTACTTTCAAACTGAAAGTATCTAGAAGTATCTAAAAGCCACTGAGCTCTACTCCTTTGCTCAGAAAGGGAAGCTGATCTCAAACATAACTATAAATACAGATATGGGTTAATTCATTAAAGTTTCCATTTAAATATATAAAACAAAGAACTCTAAATTACATTCACTTTACCAATTGCATGCCATTCTCACCTTTCTATAAACACATAGTCTCATTTTACTACAAAAGTTAACTTTTAAATACTCCCAGAAAATGACAATCATCATATGCTATCTAGCTATAAAAATTATCATGTTTTATAATTACATCAGTTTCCTATAACTAAATCTTAGATTGACTTTCAGATATCAGTGGCATTCAGAGATCTCAAAAACAATTTTCACTTATGTTTTAAAAGATGTAGAGATACTCTGAAATTGTTCAGAAACTAAATACACTACACCATCCTAACTTCAGCTATAAAAGTTACATTCTACTTTAAAAAGTCCTCCTAAACAAAGAAGTATTGTTGATTTTCTTTCAAAATTAATCCCTGGTGCCAAATGACTGGTAATAAAAGTCTTCTACAATCAGGAAAAGGAAAAACTTAAAAAATTAGTTGGCTTCCTTTTCTCAATTCTACTAATATAATTCAAATTCTTTAATTAAATTCATTCAACTTAAGCCACCTACATTAGAGCACAGAAAGATTTAATTCAAGACAATTTATTTCAGAAGTTTTCTACTGATTTCCTTTCTTTGTTAAAATAGAAAAAACCCTCTAAAGGGCAAGACTATGAGCAGCTATATTTCTGATACTAGCTGGCACAGAGAAAGTACATTTGGTGGCTTAACCTATTTTAAGGAATGTTTAGTTCAACTTATCAGAAATGATCAGAGTGGTCCCATGCAGCTGTAATCTGAGTCATGTTTTATGAACAAGGGAATACAAACAAGACAAGCAGCTGGAGCAGCCTCACAGTCACTGATGCACATCTTTCTCCCTACAGCTATGAAGGCCATTTTGTCAAGCAGAATGAAACAGAACAAAAGTGGCTCTGAAGGTAATGTTATAGGCATTCAGATAACTACATATAGATGTACAGCTAAAATTACCAATTAGTTTACCAATTGGCTGCAACGGATTCGATTGGTTTGTAATTAATTCTAGTTACTGGCGCACAGAGCAGGATGGTTGGCGCCATCCCTTTGTCCTCCTGACACACAATACTAGTGCACAGGCCCAGGGGCCCAGGACATTAATACATCCTCCAATTCAGCTACAGGAAGGAGCACAGTGCTGTACCCCTGTGGTATGAAGTGGTAGAAACATGCATCATATAAGAAGGCAGTAATAAAAATGAACTTTAAGAAAGTCCTTTCCCAAGATTAAAATAAGTTTTACAAGCATTATTTTTTAAGAAGATCTTATTCCTTTTTTTGATTCAAGCTAACTAGTGGAATAAAAAGTTCAAAAGAAAAAACACCTGAAAGCAAAATGGCAAGTAAACCACTTTCAAAATTATCTACTATCATTCATGGTCATCCTTACTCCTCAGTCACTCATTGTTTTCAAATATCTCCCCCCTAAATTTTAATATCAGAAACTAGAAAAAAACAACAAGGACAATCAGGGCAGTCACTCTTGTGCTCTGTCCAGGTGGCATAGGGGCGCAGAGGACACCGCTCCATGATATATAGTCCTTTTGCACAATTTTGGAGAGAAAGCCAGGTTTTGAGTCTGTCCCTGTATATTCCCACAGCTTCTCAGAGTCTTGCAGACAATGACTGAGGAGACAAACTATGCAGAAAATAACTTCAACACTATTTAGATCTAGGTTGAGGCCAAATGAAATTTTGATTTAATAAGTTTTTTATTGCTTGGTTAAGCCCTTAACCTACCATGCTAAAAAAATGAACTAGAAAAAGAATACATAAAATATTCACCAAATAAAAGCCTATAAAAAAATCTGCCAATGAAACAATTCTCCTATAGTTTAACCTTACCAGAGTCTTTGCGGATAAAATTTGTAATTGTCTGAGTAGTGATAAAAATATATCACTCCACTGGCCAATTTTTATCTCAACTCATTTGGAAATTGGCTTAATTAGATGTTTTTCTCTATGGGTATTTCCCACTAAGATAACTCAGAGGCTGAGTTTCTTATGGCTAAGAATAAGTAAATGATGATGCTAAAATTTTTAAAAGGATTCAAAATCAACATACTCAAATTCAAATTCCCCATTGATAGCTATATGGTAACCTCCAGACACTTGCCTAAGACATTTATTTGCCTGAAATACTATTTGAGTAAGTGTTTCATACTCTCCTAACTTGTAGAGGCACATCTGAGAAATCTGATGACAGTCTGAAAAGATGACCTTTACATGTTATATGCTCTCTCTCTTAGAAATTACAAATAACAATTCCTTCTTTAATAACAGTAAATTCTAACAAGAAGAGTTTTTTCAGGAAACTGAAGTGGCAGTTTCCTCAAATGCACAGTTAGCTAAGCCCAAAATAGAGAAAATCTGATTGACAAAATTTCCCACACACTTCTGGCATTCATAGAGAATTCATTTAAAAACAAAATAGGTAGAAATACAAACCCATAGAGGCCCCTAAGTACAATATGTGCAAAAATGAGCACAACACAAAGAAATTAGATGACAGTGAATTTCACCATCCAGGAACTATGTGCCAAACTGATTTAAACAACATCCCCCAAATTCACATCCATCTTCCCACCTTCATCTAAAATCTATAAATGGTGACAACAGAGATAGGAAAAAATTGATTTCTATTCAAAATCTCAGGGACTAGGTTATTTCATTCTATTACATTATCTCAGTTTTTAAATGAGAAACACTTAATTGTTTACTTAATAAACAACCTTCAGTTAGAACATCAAACCCTCCCAGATTCTAAGGCAATGCTAGAATCTGGATTGGATCTGAGGATTCTGCTTTCCTAAATGCCTCTGTAATTCTAAGCCCTTAATATAACAGCACATATAGGCAACTTAGCACTAACTATAAGAAGCCTGGAAATGTCATTAAGACTTCATAGTAAGAGGTTTTAAAAACCAAGATAAGTCTATTTTGGACTCAGAAGGGTATGGCGATAGTAGGCCTCCACAGATATTGGCACAGACCTCAGTGAGCTCTGGGACAGGTCCTGGAAGCAGATGTCAAAGTTAAGCCTCCACACACATTGGCACAGACAGCAGTGCCTTCAGGGTAGGTCATGGAAGCAGCCCCACAGATAGAAACCAGCAGCCATCTTCAGCCAGTCCTAGGATGGGATTTGGAAGCACCAAAGCATGCCACCACAGATCTCAGCAAACATCTCCATATGCTCCAGGGCAGCTTCTGGAAGCAGTCTCACCAGCAGCATTCCTTCGCAGACCTCAGAGCATACAGGAAAGGACCTAGAAGTAGACCTGCCAACACAGACCCCCATGAAAATCCCAGCAAACACCAGAAAGGAGCCCAGAAACAGACCTACCATAGAAGACCTCAGTAAGACCAGATCTCAGTAAAACCAGGGACAGGTCCTAGAATCATCAACACTGATGGCAGGTGCCCCCACAGAAATCAGAGAGCTCGAGGAGTATTCTGCTAGCTGTCTTCACCACAGAAGGCTACAGCAGATCTCAGTGAGCCCTGACAAGGGTCCTAGAAGCAACCCAAAGTTGGTATCTCTTGGAAAACAATTGAGCAATCCCTACAATTGAGAACAGATGTTGCAGGCCTTGGCAGAGGAAACTAGAGGGTCTGGTTCCCATGAATTGCAGCTCATGCAGCAGTGAACCACAGGGACAATGGTTCGACACATAGTCTCTCAGAAAGGAGTAGGATTTATTATCCCTTATGCAATATAGACTATAAATAAATATATCAATAAGAGAAAAGGGAGGAAACTCTAATAAGTAGAATCAGAAATGATTGAGAAGTTACTGCAGACAGTTCTGAAATACAAAGAAGCTTACAAAATTCCCCAAATGAATAAGAAACAGTAAACTTCCATAGACAAATCACAACTAGGAAAGCAGAAATAGTAATACACATTCTCACAAAAAGCAAATGCCCAGGACCAGATGGTTTTACTAGTAAGTTCTATCAAACCTTCAAAGATGCACTAACACCTATTCTTCTCATGCACTTCAAAAAAAAAACAAAAAAAAAAAAAAACAAAACAGAAAGAGCTAATACTCCCAAATACATTTTATGAGACAACATTACTCTGATATCAAAAGCAGACAAGGACATCACAAAAAAAGAAAACTACAGACCAATAACATTGATGAACACAAAGGCAAATATCCTCAGCAAATATTAGCAAATCCAATTCAACAATACAATAATAAGTTTCAGAGAGAGTTACTCCAGGGAGGCAAGGATGGATTAACATAAAAAAATCAATCAATGTAATTTGCCATATCTACAAAAGACAAAAATCATATGATCACATCAAGACATGCAAAGAAGCCATTGGACAAGATTCAGCATGCATTTATGACAAAAACTTTAATAAATAGGGGTAAAGGGGCGTATCTCAACATAATGTTGGCAAGGATGTGGAGAAAAAGGAACCCTTTAGCAGTTGTTGGAAATATACACTAGCCCGACCCCTACTGTGGGCATGACAGTACCTCCAAATATAAAAAACAGATCTATCATATAATCCAGCAATTCTACTCATAGTTATCTGCTGAAAAATACAATAATATATAACTCAAAGGGTTATATGTACCCCTATGTGCATGCTCCACTGTTTACAATAGCCAAGTTACTGAAACAACCTAAATGCCTACAACAAAGCAGTGGATTATGAAGATGTCATCAGTCATCTAGGCCATCCCAGGCTTAGAGTCACCACTGTGGGGTGGGGTGAGGACCTAGTGACCTGCCCCTCAACCCAGCACCCTCCCAGCAGACCAGGCCACTGGACCCAAGCCTGGAACCACTGCTTCAGGGTGGAGTGGGGTGGGGTCCCAGCAACACATCTTTCAATTTAGCACCCCTTCCCATACATCCTGACCACTGGAACTAAGCCTGGAAATGCTTTGTGAGAAGGCATTGCACCACCTCAGATTCCACAAAGCCCCAACCACTATGCACACCACCCAGTAAACATAAAGAACATCAAAAAGGACTCATGAAGAACAAAAACCCCAACAACGGCTGAACAAACTAAAAGAAAATATAGAGAGAAGGAAAAATACAAATGGACAAGTTCTCAAGGGAGCCATACACCAAGAGAGAAAAAACAAATCTTAAACCCAACCACAAAGATACTGAAGACCTTTTATTCTTATTGGATACGGAACTAAAAATGTCCATAATCAAGAAAATCAAAGAAGATGATCAATACAAAGTAAACTCAGAAAAAGTTCAGATATATGCAAGAAAATGCAAATGCAAATGAATGCTATGAGAAATCAAGGAACAGAAAATTGTAACTGAAGTTATAAATAAAAGAAAGTAGTGGAATTATAGGATGTAGAAAGATCAGTGGAGATAAAAAGTTCTGGAGAAAGTCAAGGAACCAGAATAACCCCAATGGAATATTGAATCAGTGAGCCCAAAGAATCATATGTGGAAAGAATTAAAGTAGAAAATAAAAGAAGGAAAAAAGGAAAAAAAGAAGAAACAAGGCCTCCCTGGTGGCACAGGAGGTTGAGCGCCTCACTGTGAAGCTGTCCGCAGCCTCTGCAGCACCACCTCGACCCCGGCCAGCCGGCAAGAATCCCAAATGGCGCGCAGACACCGCCGCACCAACTGCTCCCCTCAGCAGTGTGTTTTGTCCGTCTGCCTGTTCTGTTCCCCACTCTGTCTCTGGTGAATCCTCTCACCCTCCTGCGCATCTGGCCTGTACCCCGGGTCTTGTATAAAAAATAAATAAATAAATCTTTTAAAAAAAGAAGAAGAAGAATCACTTCAACAATTATCTGACACTGTGAGGATAGAAAATATAAGAATCACAGGCATCTCTGAAAGAGAAAAGAGAGAAAGGAACTAAAAGACTATTTAAAGTAGTAATACATTGTGCAAAGATGAAAAATGATGTAAGAATTATATAAAATAAATAATCCATGAAATCTCAAAATGTTTTACGAAATATCGCCAACTCTAGCTGAAACTCATATAATGTTATAATGCAATGTTACCTCAATTAAAAAATTTTTTAAAAAGGTAGTAATAGAAGAAAACCTCCAAAACTTGGAAGGAATCAAACATGCAAATGCAGAAGTTAAAAGAATATCTAGGTGCATAAACAAAAGGAAATCTACAGCAAGACATGTAGTAGTAGTAACCTTCCATAAATCCAAGACAAAGGAAAAATAATGAAGGTAATGAGGAGGGGGGAAATGGAGAGCCTATAAATGGACCCCGATTAGGCTAACATCAGATATCCCTGAAGAAACATTACCTATCTCCAGAAACACCACATATCTTCAGGACAAAAATACCAAACAAGAATATTCTATCCTGGGCCTCCCCTGGTGGAACAGGTGGTTGAGCGCTGCCCTGTGAAGCTGTCAAGCAGCCTCTGCAGCGCCAGTTCAATCCCGGCCGGCCGGCGCTGAGGGTCCCACATGGCGTGGCAGACCTCTCCTGTCTTGCCTGCTGCTCCCCTCAGCAGTGTATTTCTCAGTCTGCCTGTTCTGTTCACCGTTCTGTCTCTGGTGAATCCTCTCACCCTCCCACACATCTGGCCTGTACCCCGGTTCTCGTATAAAATAAATATATCTTTTTTAAAAAAGTGTTTATTTAGAAAAAAATATTCTATCCTGAAAAAACACTTCTTCAGA